CCCGAAAAGGGAGCTTTTAAAAAAAAAAAACAGGGGGTCCTTTTAGGGGGGGTGGATTTTTTTTTTTTTTTCCCCGTAAAGATTTTGTTTCTTTTTTGTTTTGGGGGGTTGGCCTTTTTTTTTTGACCTATTTTTGGGGGCCATTTTGTTTTTTTGGGGGGTTTTTGGGGGGTTAATTTTTGGGGGGAAAAGCCGGGGTTTTTTCCCCGGGGGGTTTTTTCTTTTTTGGGGGGGGTTTTTTTTTTTTTTGGGTAAAAAGGAATTTTTTTTTCGGATTTTTGGTCCCCCTTTCCGGGCCCCCCCCCCCCCCCGGGGGGGGGTAGATTTCAGAGCCCCCTTCTTTTTGGCCGGGGGGCTTTTTTGGTGATACATTTTTCCGTTTTAACTTTTTTTTTGAAAATTTTTTTGGGGGGGGGGTTTTTTTCCGGGGGGGGGGGGGGGGGGGGGGGCAGGTTGGAGAGTGGGCGGAGGCGGAGCGGCTGGTGACGGGAATGCGGGGACAGGGGCTGGCGCCGGACAAATACACGTACAACTCTCTCATATACGCGTACGGAAACTCGGTGAGTGTTTTTGAGTGGCATAATATTTTTTTTTCTGTAACTCTTTTGTTGTTGTTTGCTGATTCTTGTCTCAGGTTGGTCGAGAAATCATTATTACCCGTTTGCCAAAGGGAAGATTTACCAGTACTGTATGCTGCTCGTCTGCTCGTTCAAACGGGGGCAATCGGTCTGCAATACTGAGTAGGGGCAGGCAGACCGGGGGTGAGTGCGGGCAGACGGGTGCTGTTTGCGTCTCACGGTTGGGAACCAATCCCGCGGGCCTTGCTGCTGTGCGCTGTTGCAAAATGTGCTTGTGTCTGCTGACCCCACCGCTGCTTCCTGCTGCTGCCGCTGCCGCTGCTGCTGCTGCTGCTGCTGCTGCTGCTGCTGCTGCTGCTGCTGCTGCTTACCGTTGTTCTCCGTGGCGGGGTTAAAGGGCGAGTGGGAGAAAGCCCTGTCCATGCTTGAAGAGATTCGCGCGGCCGGTTTCAAGGTCAACTGCATGGCCTACAGCGCCGCCATCAAGGTCAGGGCGCTTGGGCCAACGCACTTCTCCGACTTGTTTGTTTTGTTTGTTTTTTCACGAAAGTGGCCGAAGGGCGACGCGCAGGAATCAACCATGGAGCAGAACAGCAGTGGTACAGTTGTGCCATGCTAATGGAAACAGGCAGCACTGCTGTGGCGATGGCATCGGCATGTGTTGGTGGGAGGCCGCTCTCTCCCTCGATTTTTGTGGCCACTACTGCTGTGTAGTTCGCCGGCCAGAATGAACCCCCTACGATGACGATAGGGGAGGGAGAAAACAATAAAACTTTCAAGAATTCTGCCCCATGAACTACTGCTGTCCGCCCTCAAGTTACCACTGACGTGCCGTATATCCGCACTCTTTTTTTTTTGCCTTCGCCCCACTCTGCCTCGGCCACCGCGGCTCATCGTCCCGGTTCGCTTCTCGCTTGCTTCTGCTGCTACGGCTGCTGCTGCTGCTACGGCTGCTGCTGTATTGCTGCTGCACAGGCGTGCGACAAGGCTTTCCAGTGGGAGAGGGCCCTGGAGCTGCTGGACAGGATGGTGGAGAGGGGCGGGGTCAAGCCCAACCTCTTCGCCTACAACCACGCCATGTCCGCCTGCGTCCGGTGAGCTATCATAACATACCTGCATACAGGAAGCAGGCGGTTCTCAGCAAGCAACGACCTACAGCAGTGATAACCTTCCGAGCAAGCTGGTTTTTTGTTTGTGTATTTCCTTCTTTCATGCAATAGGCGTTTTTTCTTCATACGGGGAGGAAGGAGTTCCACGGCAACGATCCCCGCAATTTTCTTTCTATTGCGCTTCTTTCATACGAGGGAGGTGTTTTCTCGGAGTTCCGCGGCTCTCTCGCTGGCATATTCCTGCACGTGTACAATAACCGTCCCCGAAGCTTTTCTTTTTCTCGCGCTTGCTTGATTGGTTTTGCGCGAGCTTAGTTTTTCTCCTCCTTATTCGAGGCGGAAAGAGCTCCACGGAGAGGGTGGGGGACAGGGTGCCGTCTCGCCCACTTCGTTTTGCGTACCAGCCAATCTCCCTGTTTTCGAGGCACGTGCTTTTGTTGTTTTTTTCTAACAACTGATTTTGTGCGAGAGACGTTTTTCTTCGCGTCGTGCCGGGAGGAAGGAGTTCCATTGCTTTCTGTCATTTTACTTCTAGGGGAGAGGGTGGGGACAGGGTACCGTTTCACCCACTTCATTTGCGTGACAGCAGTCTCCCTGTTTCCGAGGGCACATTTTATTTTTTTTATCTAAGACAGAAACACGACAAAAT